AAACATACCATTAAATTTGGTGGGTGATGAATTGAATATGAATTTTAGTTGTGGATCGAAAGGGTAAGTTACTATTGATTGTGATTGGCAGAGTCCTCATAAAATTTGCACCAACTTAATCTCATGGCAGACAAGGAATAGTGTAATACCCACAATTTTGAACATTTCTATGCATGTGTGTAAGTTTATTTCATTAAAGTATGTGTATGTTATGCTTTGTATTTACATTGGTGTTATCCGTTATGTTTGCATTGGAGTTATACTTTGTGTTTGTATTAATAAATATTTAACTTTGCAAGTTCATGTTACTAAGGGTTGTGAGTGTATGAGTGACTAAGGGACCTTAGTATGATAATTAAAAGATTAAGAGTTTAAGTGAATTAAGAGACAAAGTAAAGTGACTAGTATGTTAAGTTGTTCAAACTTGAAGGACTTAGAGATATAGCTTGATCAAGTTTTTCATGCATGTATTAACATAAAAATAAAGCTTGAAAGGTGTCCTATACATATACTAACTTAGGAAAAATATCTTGATTAAGTTTTTTATCTAGAAAATTCTCTTAGTGAAGTGATCTGTACAAGTGTCTTATACAAGTTGCAATTCTTAGAAGATTTTCTAAGTCATCTTGGTGATATTTTAGCCTTGAAAAACATAAAATCAATAAGAGAGAAAACTAAATCTATTAGGAAATCAATTCAGGTCGAGAGGAAGAGAGAGTTGGCCGAGAGAAAGGGAAATTTTGAGCGAGTTTGGCTAAGAGCGGTAACAAGGAAGGAAAATGAGATTTTTGAGAGCATCTAGGGTATTTTCAAAACTAGCTAAACCCTAAGATAAGTGTAGCTCTAACTCATCACAAGACATAGAAGTTATAGGATTTTGTGTTGATAACTTTGTGTTCCTATGTTACTTGATGATTGATCACTTATGAAGTTGTACTTACTTTATATTACACTCATATGTTTACTGATGATTAGTAAGTGTAATCCCAACTACATCACAAGACATAGATGTTATGTGTTTAAGTGATGATTGAACATAGATATTATAGGTTTTGATGTATTTATGTGTTGCTTGATGTTTTACATAGATATTATATTGCTGCGAGTTATGTGTCCACTAAAGATATGTTTACTTAAGGTTGTGCTCATATGTTTATTTGAGGATTAGTAAGTATAGTCCCATATCAACTCACCATAAGATGTGGATGTTATAGAATTAATGTGTTATAGGATTATTATGCTTAAGTGTTTACTTGATAATTGATTGCTTATGATGTTTTGTTCACTTGATGTTGCACCTTAAATGATGATATGTTTACTAGATCATTAGTCACTGAACTACAACTCATCACAAGGTATAGAAGTTCTAAGGTTATAGTATTCATGAGGTTACTTGATCATTGAATACTTGTGAGGATTACTTGATGGTTTCGATTAAGTGCTTATTAGAGGTTACTTGGTTTTGTATCCATGTGTTTATTGATGATTGAACACTTATGAGGTTTTATGGTAATGTATTTATGTATTTATTGGATGAATGAGCATTGGAGATGTCACATGATGGATTCATATTGGAGTAGTTTACTTTATGTTACTTGGTTAAGTGTTCATGTGAATATTTGGTGATGGAAACACTTATAATGTTACATGATGATTTTAGACTTTGTGATTACTTGAGGTTACTTAGTTATGTGTTTATATGGTTGTTTGATGATTAGATATTTGTTATGTCACTTGAACATTTCAATTCAAGGGTTTACTTTATGTTGCATGGCTTTATGTTTATGTGTTGACTATGGATTCATGAGTTTACTTGATGTTATATTGTTTAGTGTTCATGTGCTACTTGAAGTGTGCACTTAATTGCATTTACAACATAAAAATATTTTTATCATGTTTTCATGTATTCAAAGAAAGGTCATATGCATGTTTTAAAGAAAGGATCATGGCTAGACATATTCAAGACGGCTTACAAGAGGAATGATCAACGATTTGAGAAGAATATGAATAAAATGTGTCCGAGTACTTTTATGGTTTTCACAAGGATGATTTTCAATGAGGGTCGAATATATATACATTTGATAGGATGCATCCGAAAGACAAAAAATATATTTCAGCATCATGAAAAATGAGTTTACTAAAGAAGGCTATACCGAAAGTACTATAGAGAATGTGCACAATGAGACAAGAACAAGACAATAAAGAGGATGCATCAATAATATGCGATAATAGCCTAATCCTTAATCTTATTGCATATACTTTAATTGATTTAGGTGCTACATATTCTTTTATATCATGGTTTTTATTGTGAAAATTAGGAGTGATACTTGAGATAATGTTTGAAGTTGTATATGGGGTAACTCTTCCATCGAGGGAGATATTGGAGTCTAGGGACATGATTAGGGATTGTGAGCTATGAATTGGAGATAATGTTTTGGAAGTTGATTTAGTGGCTTTGAGAATTTAGGACTTTGATATGGTTTTAGGTATGGATTGTTTGTTCAAGAATGGTCCATTGATTGATGGTCATGTAAAGAAAGTTGTGCTTCGATGGTCGGGGAAGCAACCATTTGAGTTGCGAGCTGAAAATAAATTGAAGTCGGTATGTATTGTCTTGGCAATGACAACTTGGAAGATGATTAGAACCGGATGCTTGGGTTTCTTGGTTAATATGGTGGACACCTTAAAGGAAAGAAGGGTGAAATTGGAAGACATTGATGTGGTGAGTGATTTCCCATATGTTTTTTTTTGAGAGCTTGTCGAAGTGCCACCAAAAAAAGAGATTGGGTTTGAAATTGAGCTGAAGCCGAGAATGGTACCAATTTTTAAAGCATCGCGAGATAATGGCACTAAAGGAACTAAAAGAGTTAAAAACTCAACTATAAGACCTATTGGACAAAGGCTACATTTGGCTTAGTTATTCACCTTGGGTAGCATCCGTGTTGTTTGTGAAAAAAAAGGATAGAACATTATAGTTATATATTGACTATTGAGACTTGAATCGGGTTACTATTAAGCACAAGTATCTGCTATCTCATACTGATGATTTGTTTGATTAATTAAGAGAGAGCTCGATATTCTCAAAGATTGATTTACAATTGGGATATTATCGAGTTGAGTGTTAGAGAAGAGGATGTGAAGAAAAGTCTTATCCACTCTACCATCTTTGGGTCTATTTTTGCAATCCAAAATCTTTTATTTGACATTATTATTATTATTATTATTATTATTTTGATGAACTAATAGATTTTTATGAGTGAATTTCATTATTTGTTGTTATATTTTAGATCCAGTCTTTAATTACTAGAATATTCTTAATTAAAAAAAAAAAAATCAAACCCCATATATATATTTTTTTAAAAGTAATTTGAAAATATTAAGAGAATATTATTCAATATGCCACTTTAACTCACCCAGATCTTGCCTTTTATGTGAACAAACTATGCCAATTTATGAGTACTCTAACTGATACACATTGGCAAGCTGTTGAAAGAGTTCTCTGGTATGCCCAAGGCACTCTTCATCATGGCCTACAGCTTAGCAAATCTTCTACACCTACTTTAGAGGTTCTACATATGCTGATTGGACTGGCTGTTTTAATGATCGAAAATCTACCGGTAGGTCTGCCATATTTTTGGGTAAGAACTCGATCATTTGGTCGGCTAAAAAGCAACAAACAATTGCAAAATCCTCAACAGAATCTGAATTCCTGCCCTTGCAAAATGCTAATATTGACCTGATTTGGTTACAGTCTCTTCTCAGAATTAGGAATTCATCTTTAACAACTTCTCATATTATGGCTTGACAACTATAGTGCTATCTTTTTATCATCCAATCTTGTTTTCCGTACACGAACCAAACATATTGAAGGTGTTTTTCACTTTATTTGAGATCAAGTGTTAAAGAAGCTGTTACAAGTCCTATATCTTTCCACCCATAATCAAATTGCAGATATATTAACTAAACTCTTAGCTATTTATCTCTATTTGTACTATGGGACTCCCATCTTTAAATGGGTTGTGAGTTTAAAATTTTAAAGCCTCCCAAAACATGTTTTCGGCCCGAACCCATGCCTTTTGCTTTCCTCGCTTCCACTGTTCTGATTTCTTCATAGCCACCTTCCACAAAAGGATTTTTTTTTCCTACATAGACCTTTATTAATTTTGTTTCTTTTATTTTTTGAATTCCTTTTGTCACCATCTACTGATTCTAGGCTTGTCTATTTTGTAATCAAGTTCAATTTGCTAGACTTGGGCATATGTAAGGAGACAAAAAAAGAAGAAGAAGAATCTAAGATTGAAGGCTGTGTTCTTACTAATCTCAAAAGGGTTGGAGAATGTTGCTAGGGAAAATCGGATTGTTTTTGTTAGAAAGGGAAAATGGGATTTTTCCTTAACATTGCAAAACCACCACTTTTTTGTCAATATTCCACTACAATAATGTTCTTTGCAACTTTCCATTAATCTATTCCATCTCAAACTTCTTTAGCCTGGTTTTCCAAAGAAAAAAATCATACTTCTTTAGCTTGGTTTTCGAAAGAAAAACTAATTGGAGTTTAACAAGCCTTACGGAAGATTGATTATACAGTAATTATAAGCTATTCCCCAAAACATTGTAGTTTCATCATAGGTAATTCATATGGCGATCAGCGAGGCTGACTCTTAGCCTCCGCCGCTAGTTTTGTAGTACTAATTTAACCACCATCTATCTCAAAATCCACAAAATTTTTACTCCAAAGGTTTAATCATAAATCAATAAAAGAAATTAATCGTTCTTGTCTTTTCTTATTTCACAAAAAAGGGAAAAGCAACAACAAAAAATGGACATGCTTTTTCTCAAGGGAAAAAAAAATTAAAAAAAGGCAAATACCTTGCGCAAGTTATCCCATACTTCGTCTTTCCAAAAGTATGAAAGATAAAAGACAAGCACGGGCTTGCATTTGAGCAACAATTGGTCCAACTTCTTATGATAACGTGATGGTAGACTCCATAAACTAGCTATTACTGGAAATGAAACAAGTGGACACAGTCATAAACTGAGCAAAATGCTTGCAGCGATGTTATGAGCAAGAGCAAGATGGCAGCTACCAGTGTGAGAAACTTCCATGAACCAAACACATACAGCTTCATGAACTTTTCAACCTTAACTTTAAATTGTCCATCATGATACTTGTTAACATCTTGAATCACCTTATCCAAGAATGGAACTTTCGTCAATCTAATACACCTACTCATACCATTCCACATGTTGGCCACCTCTTCATCATTCGTCGAATGGCTCAAAATAATGCCTTTTTCTCGAAGCATTTTTGCATCCTCGGCACTATCAATAATCCCATTCATCAATTCTGTGTAACGTGTAAAAACCATTGGACCCGATGAATTTGATGCTTCATATGCTACCAAGTTTCTCAAGACTACATCACTATTTACATCCAAACTAATCCTCGGGAGGTAAAATGTACATGTCTTCTTGTTGAAGTTGATGGTTGATATGCTTCCATTAGTAGGAACGAAACGCACCCCGCATTTCGAGAGCTGACTGACTGAAGGAATTATGATTTCTTCAACCAATTGTGGTTGGTGAAAGCTAGAACCGACACTTTGAGATTCAGAAGAAGCATTAGGTTGATTTACGGTTCCAAACCCAAGAAGATTGAGGAAGATTTTCCAAGGCAATTTGATTATCACTTCAAATGGTGCTGATTTTAGCAATTTGTTGAGGAAATTTGCAGGACCTATCTTTTGATTTAAGAGAATTTTCCAGATCTCAATCAGGAGCTGTTTAATTTAGTTAGAGTCAACTGAAGATTCTTCGTTGTCTTGTGAGGCTTTGGAATCATCCTTAACTTCTTCAGGTATCTCGAGTGATTCTTCCACCTTGGGCACGATAATGTTGTACAAAAAGTCTAGCAAGTGAGCATGGTCAGAGACTTTAACTCCTGACGAGCTCACCACTGTCTTGAATGGAGAGAGCTCTTTACATGATCCCCTTAACATGGAGTACAACATTTCTTCGGCGGATTCTAATGACAGAAGTTGAAATTCTAGCACTTTCCTCAATATAAATAGTGGAATTTGATTCTCCAGCATCACTATATCTCGAAGAATTGCATCATGGATTGATTTCCTCCGGAAATAATCAAACAGATGAGACATTCCTGAGGGAACTTTGGATAGCATTTCAGGGTCACTGAGAGCACTAACTTGCAGGTACTCAATCAAGAATGATGCATCAATGGCCATCATCCATGCTAGTGTTTGACCATTGATGTTTAAATACTTGCTGTAGCATGCACGAATCTTGAATTCTAGCTTCATTAATTGCTCAACAAGATCTTGAAATTTAAGACCTTGAAGCAGCTTTTGACATCTTTTTGCCGCGGAGAGCTTATATCGGTCCATCTCATGTAGCTCAAGACGTGAATAATGGTATGGACCAAGTGAAAGTTGATGTGGAGTATAAGAATCTGGATGATTAGACATTAGGGGTTTGGGAACACTAAAAATGCATCCGGATATTTCACTATCGTCTTCAAGCTGATCTGCTTCTATTGTTCGACGGATGTTGGCGACCCATTGAAGCTCATCGAAGTCGAAACTGGTACCACATGATAGGTTGGTTTGGAGAGGAGACATGTTTGCTTTGGTAATGGAAAACTTTCGGTACTTCTTTTTTATAGCTTTACTTTTTTATTTAGTCGTTTAGTGGGCACAACTCACAGGCTTTATACAGAAGTACTGCTACTACTGTAACATGAGTTTATGAAGCATCAGGATGTTGCATGCAATTTTCCTTGGTTACTTGTCCAACCTAAACAAGTTTTCTCTGATGGAAAAACCAATTTTGACCGTGGCTTTGCCGTACGTATTAGTGAATATGGTAGCCTGGGTAATGATGTGGATATTAAATAGTTTAGTTAGATCATTAGTAGTGATGTCACTTTGTCTCTTCAGATTTCGAATTTCGAATTTTTTTTTTAAACTATTAATAATAATAAGATAAGTGTTTAAAAATAAAAAATAAAAAATCCTGCTATTATTCTCCCCTTTCGAACGTTGTGGCATTTGATTTTTGGTCTCACAACGTCTTGTATACTCATATTATTTACTTTTCATCATCTCAACCATTGCTTTTATATTGTTTGTTGAGGTAATTGCACTAACATTCATTTTTTTTTCAATTAGATATATAAATTTTAATTTTTTCAAAACTATGTACCAATCAAGTATTTTTATTAATTGATAAAATATCGATTAAACTCAAAATATTAAATTCAATTTTTTTTTTTAATCAAGTATATGAACTTTATTGTTTTTTATTTGAGTACTTTAATTTTTTTTTCAAAACTTTCAATTATGTAGTTCAATCAATTTTTTCGTTAAGTTATAACGTATTCGAATAAGAAATTATAATTTTATGATTTTTTTTTGTTGAAGAGAACTATCTCTCTAAATTATTTTACCAATTTAAATATTGACAAAAAAATAAAATAAAATAAAAATATTACTTTTTATATATAAAATCTCAAACTAAACTCAATTAAGTTCCTAATAAAAAAAAAAACATTCGGTTAGCTTTAGGAATGAAAATTAGAGAATACATATGAATTTTTTGATAAAAAATCTCACACTTGTGCTTCTTTCAACTTTCATGTTCAAAATCTAATAGAGTTTTTTTTTTTTTTAAAAAAAATGTAAGCCTAACTGAATTTAGTTCAAAATTTTATAACCAAAAAAATAATATTTTTTAATTCTTTATCAAACTTTAAATTGGTAGAATAATTTGAGAAGAAAATTCCTTGCAACAAAAGAGAGAGAAAATGTAATTTGTTATTTGTACACACTATTAGTTAACAAGAAAATTGATAAAAATACTTGATTGACGAGTTTTAAAAATGTTGATATACTCAAATAACAAAAATTAAAATTTATATACTCTATTGAAAATATATATATATATAATTCGATATTTTGAGAATAATAGACACATCATTAGTTAGCAGAAAAATTGACAAAAATACTCGATTGATAGTTTTAAAAAAATTGATATACTTAAACAAAAAATATTAAAGTTTATATATGTGATCGATTGAGAAAAAAATGAAAATTAGTGTACTAATAATGTAATTATCCCATTATTTATTCAATAAAAATGCAAAATCATAATAAGGTAAACATGTTTTCTTGTTACATTTGTGAGGTTCAAATTCAAGAATTTTTGGGGGAAAAAAATAATTAATATCAGTTAAATTATCTTTTCTTGGCAACTTTCTTTGTAGAGGTAGGAATTGGGAACATCTCCCCCTTTCCCCAGCGTGAATTGCATGCCTAGGCACACCACACTAATTGTCCCTTTCTGCTATCAAATAACAAAACAAGTAAATTATAAATTAGTCCCTCTTGTTTTGTAAAATAATAAAATAATTCATCTAGTTTCAAAAATTAATTAATTTTCCGTTTTTTTTCAGTTCATGTTTTTTTCAATAAATAGAAAATAAAAAAGAAGTAAATAATATAGCAAGATTGATGAGAAAAAAAAAAGATTTTTTTACTATAAAATAATATTAAATTAAAAAATTCAATGCTGATTAAGAAACTAATTAATTAGTTTCTTAAACTATATGGACTATTGAATTTATTTTGCAAACATTGGGGGACTACTTTTATAATTTACTCATTGCAAAACAAACTTACCGTTTCTCGTTTGTGATGGTGTGAATCACGAGACCTAAACAATGATAACGCGTAATTACTGAACACATCATTGATTATTGACTTGCGACCATGGCTTTGTTGGTGGTGGCCGGTGGGCTGCCTGCCTCCTGTGAACTACGAATTTTCTTTGCCAATGCCAATATGGCTAAACGTGATTAATGGATATTTTCTAACTATTCTAGAAAATATTGTTTGTAAATTGAAGAAATTTAAATCTTTCATTAGAAAGATCAATGGTTCACAAGGATGTCAATTTTTAATATTCTGTATCAAATTCATGTTGGCTTTGAAATCTTTCTTGCTTTCAGATCGAATTGCAAGCACATATCCAAAAGAGAGATTTGTCATATGCAATAGATGAACTTGTGGTTTTCATTATATATATCAAGAAAACAATTCAGATTTGTAGAAGATGGTTTTGACATCCTTTTCATATCACACCTAATTTCTTGTGCTAAAAAAAATTGCAAACCCCAACACATGTTTTTGTCCCGAACCCATGCCTTTTGCTTTCCTCACTTCCCCCTGGTCTGATTTCTTCATAGCCGCCTTCCACAAAAGGATTTTTTTTTTTTCCTACTTAAAACTTTATTAATTTTGTTTCTTTTATTTCTTGAATTCCTTTTGTCACTCTCTACTCATTCTAGGCTCGTCTATTTTGTAATCAAGTTCAATTTTGTAGACATGGGCATATGTAAGGAGACAACAAGGAAAGAAGAATCATCTAAGACTACAACTATATTTAAGAGGACTGAAATTGTGGTGGTTGGATTGACATGCAATTTCAAGAAGAGCATGTATGTTTTGCCTATTAGAAAAAAAGAGCAATCCTACGACAAGATTAGCGACGGATTGTCCGTCACTAAATTTAGCGATGAACTACGTAGTCCGTCGTAAAAATTTAGCAATCAGCAAAATAGCGATGAAATATGCTTCGTCGCTATTTGCAATTAGCGACGGAATTGGAGTGTTTAGCAACGGAATATTCCATTGCTAAACTCAATTTTTTTATAGCGAATTTTGCTAGTGAAAATCATTTTTTTTTTTGTTAAAAAGGAAAAGTGGGATTTTTCCTAAATAATCTAGCAGTGCTCTTTTACTATTTTTGGTAGAGGGAGAGAGCGAGAAAGAGAGCTAAGAGAGAAAGGCTAGAACCTTGGAATGAAAGGGTACATACGGTAGTTGGGTGCTTATGAATGGTGGAAATGAAAAGTGGCTCTAATTACATCCTAACATGATTGACATATTAAGAAACGACCTAAGTAGCTAAATGTGTTAAATTAAAAAGCAAATGCAAAATTGTTTTTTTTTTTCATCTTTAAGTTTATTTTCAATTTTATTTGTCTAAATTCAATGAATGGTAGGGAGTTGCGTTAATTTAGTATCGGATGTAATTACATCCTAACATGATTGACGTGTTAAGAAACGACCTAATTAGCTAGGTGTGTCAAAATAAAAAGTAAATACAAAATTGTTTTTTCTTTCATCTTTAAGTTTTTTTCAAGTTTATTTGTCTAAATTCAAAGAATAATTTTTTTTATTATTATGGAATCGCATTAAATTAACTTTAGGCCCCAAGCTTAGAAGTATCGTCAATTTAGACTCAAATCCAATTAAAATCTTGATATGATTGGCATGTTAAGGAACAACCTAATTAGTTAAAGGTCTTTTTTTTTAACGCAGATTGCTGAATAAAATAGGCTTGACCTAACTCTTTATTTATTTATTTTTTACTATTTTGTATTATTGGGTAAAATATATAGAAACCATCATCCATCCCTAACTCGTTGGACCGACATCATAACCAAATGAAAATCCATACATTTAAATAAAATTTATAACCTAAATATTTTTACTTTTTTCTAACACACTTAAAATTAAATATTTACTACAAAATAACATAATAATTAAATAGAGTAAGAGGAACAAACCAAATAATTACTAACAAGTGACCAAACTACCCTTGGGATATATATTATTTAGAAAATGACAAAAAATGCCTTTCCTCTAAGAAATGATAAAATTGCCCTTGGTGTCAAACATGATCGAATTGACCTTGTTCATTGTCGAAGGTCATTGTCGCTTGTTTGGCCACCACTTGGCCGATGGATCACTCCGTATGTAGGGGATGGTCAGGCGAGTGCTATTGGTTCCGGAGGTGAGGACCATTGTTGCATGACGAAGGATAGCGACGAGTGACAAGTTTCAATCGATCTCCTCCTCTTTCCTTGGTTAGTTTTGATTGGATTTAATAGTTTTCAAGGTTCCAAATCAAGAGAGAACCACCCCCTAAGACCTATTAGAGCTTTGATCCGACTTTTAATTGGTTCGAATCGACCAAAAAATGGGAGATTAAAACGAGTCTAACTTGTTGGTTGGGTTTGTCTTCCCAACCAAATTTTGGCCTATTTTCTATTTTTCTTCCATAATTTCAAGCTTAAGGAGATTGCTAGAGGTAGGAGGAGAAGTCTATGGTGGTGGTTGCCTTTGATTTGGTCGTAAAATGGCCAATTTGGGATGAGAAGAATCTAGGTCGGGTGGAGCAGATTTCGTTTCGGATCCCAACCTATTCCATTGTTTTTTATCATTATAAATGATTGGGGAAGGTGGATCCGAGGTAAAGCTAAAATATGGTGGTGGTTATTGGGGGTGGTATTGGTCGGAGAGTTGTGGTTTTAGGGGAGAAGGTCGACGGTCTATCGGGTTGAGCTACAAAATAGGTGGGTATTTAAGGGTCGTTCTAAACATGGCAGCTCCCTCCTCTTTTTTCTTTTTATTTTTGTGAGAAAGTTGGTGGTTTTATATGTAAGGTTTGGTTGTTGAAAAAAATTAATTTTGGTCCTTCATTTATTCGCTTCTTTCAATTTTAATGTACATTTCTTTCTTTCTTTCTTTTTTTGCCAAACGTGTCCTTAATCAAA